TTGCTGTTTATATTTTAATGTTAAACCATGCTCAATGTTAAATCATGGTGAAATCCCATTTATTTATATTTATTTATATTTATTGAGTGTGCAGATAAAATTTAGAGCATATTTCTGTAAACCCACAGCGTTTTAATCAGTCAGGGACATACAACTTGAAGACTACGGACTGCTCACAGATCCTCTAGTGTGTAGAAGTTGATCAAAAGATGAATTGGAAGTAATGTTTATCAACGAATAATGTGCCAAATTTGAAACTGATAATTAAAAGATGAAATAAATAAATCAGTGTGGATTTAAAGATATATGAAAAACTTTTTCCCACTTCTTTGGGGTGTGTGTATATGTGTGTGTGTATTTTGTTAGTAGGAGAAAATGGGAGGATATACAGATAGTGTGCTTGGAATTAATGTAGTAACAAAATCTCTATTGGTCATTATTATATGCAAATCACTGTCTTTTTGTAAGCATTATTAATTTATCATAAAGACTTAGGAATTAGGCATTATCAGTTCCTCTATGGTTTAGATGTGTGATGAAGGCCTAGAGTACTGAAGTAAATGGCAGAGCAAAGGTTCCCATGCAGTTTTGCCCAACACGGAAACCTGAACGTGGAATTGTATTGTGTATAGCAACGTCACCCTTTTCCAGTGGAGCAGCAGCAGGTCAGGAGCCACAGTGCTAAGAGAAAGGTTAGACATTAATATCTTGTATCCCTAAGGTACATTAGAGCGTATATGGCATATTCACATTTTTAATCACCTTCAAACCTTCATTATTCCTGTGAGACAGTGTTATTATTATCATCATATTCATTTTATAAATGAGGAAGTTGAGAATCAGGAGTGCTAAATTTGCAATTCCTAAATTTGCAGACCTGCTAACATAGACCCAAGATGAAACTCAGGTCTCTAACTCAAGGTCCTGGTACTGTTTCTACCACATTTCATTACTTCTGAATATAAACATAATAATTATCAAAATCGAGCACAGGTGCACCTACGTGTGATAGTTATAAATTGAAGTTGTCATTATTAGTTTATCTTTTGTAAATAAAAAGACCAAAAGACAGTGCTGGTAGACTTTGAACTACTTAACACCTAAAATGTTCTATGACAAGGTAAAACATTCTCTGAGTTATGAAAACAAAGTATTTATATACAATAGCTCAGGCATAGGGAATATCAGCCCCTGAGTCTTGGGCTGGCCAGGATGCCCTGATAGGAAAATTAAAACGGGGAGAGATAGTGTTTAAAGAAAAATGTCACAGAAGAGCCTTTGACCTGCAATCCACAAGAGTTGGGAGGAAAATAGATGTGAAAAGGAAACTGTCAGATTTCCCCAGGCGTAGGATTAGACTGTGAGAGTTTTAACCAGAGGTGGACTAGGTGTTTTTTTTTTCTGTATGTTATTTATGAGGCACAAGAAATAACTTTCCCTTCCAGAATTACCTTTGCAACTTACGTGACTTCTGTCCTCATCATGAAACTTTGTTTTCATGGAGTAGAGGTATTATCTCCATGAAACTCCATTCAAGGAGCCCCTTTCCCCCACAGAAATCCATGCTGTGTTTTTTACTAACAATTAGAAAGGAAGAATAACTCATAGGGATGTTGTAGAGCAACTAGAGAGAAAATCCAGAGAGCTATGACCCTGTACTGGGGACCTGGATCTGATTTTCATGCCGGGAAATTCCCATTCATTCACTTAGTCAGTCAACAAACGCTCAGTGAGGGAATGTCATGTACAAAATGCTGTCCTAGGTGCTGAGACACAGCAGCACTAGCTATGCCTTTGGATTCTCACAGCCAGTGCTAACAGTAGGGCTGAGGCACATGCGGGTTTCTCTTCCCTCACTATAGTTTTCTGAAAGGATGCCTAGAAGATATACAGAGTATTTTATATCAGATCTATTTTGCCTAGAAAGAGAAGCAACGAGCAAAGTGAACTTGGAGAGAAGAAATATGTTCTGAGGCAGGCGTTCTGTTTATTTTTCCTCCCAATATTTCTGGGTGAAGAAGAGGCTCCAGGAGGGGGAAACAGCAAATAGTAATAGAGTAGACTCAAAAACATTACAGCATAGGATATGTTTGAGAAAAGTTGTAGGTCTGGAAGATGATTTGGACTACATGCTATGTAAGAAGAGAGAGATTAATCAAAAACCAAGGCAGGATCGAAAGGCAGAGAAGGTCTGGGAGTGAAGTATAAGGCAAAGGGCAGTATATGGTGCCATGGGTAGGATGAACCAGGAACTATGATCCCAAACAGGGAGGTTCTCCTCTTCTTCCAGCAGAGATGGTCAGACTGTGGTTGAATTCATGGTGGGGTGGAGAGGACTGGAAAAGTATAAGCTACTGCATATTTGGGGAAAGATTGCAGAAAACCATATTAAATGCCAGCTGATATCTTTTTCTTTTACATTGCTGTTTCCAAATGTTTTGTGGAGGCTATGCCTGGAGTTATACCAAATGGTATACTCTAGAATATTATCTCAGGAGCTGGCAAGGGTGCAAAGCCAACCAATGTGAGAGGATGCTTCTTCCTGGGAGGTCTTGAAGGTAATTCAGGTTCCTGTTATGCCAAAATTATCTCTAACTTAAGATTTGCACAGGGGACAAAATGTCTTCTGCTAGCAGGATTGATTACACCATGAGAATTGCACCCTGGAGAGGTGTCTCTTCTGCATTTATGTTGGTTAAGGAGATAGGCAAAGACATAACACAGCGAGTCAGAAAGTGAAATGCAGACTCCTTAAATTTTGAGGATAGAACTGTATGGATTTAGAAAGAGTCTTTTGTGTAATAAATGCAGCCTGGATCATTAGTTCTCAAAGTGTGGGCTGGAGACTACTGGGATCTTTTCTAAGGTCACTCTGGCAATTTGATGGTGGCTATTGTGACAGTGTTTGGAAGTGGGACCTCTGAGAGGTGACTGAGCTGAGAAGGCTGTGCTCTCGTGAAGGGATTAATGGTGTTAACACGGAGGTGGGTTTGGTGTGGTGCGAATGAGTTTATTATAGAAAGGCAAGCTTGGCATCCCATTTTTTTTTCTTTCCATCTCTCTTTCTCCCTCTCTGCTCCTGTACCTACCCTCTTGCCTTCCATCAAGGGATGATACAGCCTGAAGGCCCTCACCAGATGCCCACACATTAACACTGGATTTTCTGTCTTTTAGAACTGTGAGTCAAGACGTTTCTGTTCATTAGAAATTAACCAATCTGGCCGGCGCCGTGGCTCAACAGGCTAATCCTCCGCCTTGCGGCGCTGGCACACCAGGTTCTAGTCCCGGTCGGGGTGCCGGATTCTGTCCCGGTTGCCCCTCTTCCAGGCCAGCTCTCTGCTGTGGCCAGGGAGTGCAGTGGAGGATGGCCCAAGTACTTGGGCCCTGCACCCCATGGGAGACCAGGAAAAGCACCTGGCTCCTGCCATCGGATCCGTGTGGTGCGCCGGCCGCAGTGCGCTGGCCGCGGTGGCCATTGGAGGGTGAACCAACGGCAAAAGGAAGACCTTTCTCTTTGTCTCTCTCTCTCACTGTCCACTCTGCCTGTCAAAAAAAAAAAAAAAGAAAAAAAAAAAAAGAAATTAGCCAATCTGTTAAAGTGGCACAAAAATGGGTTAGAAAGTTCTCAGGACCATTTTTGAGTCTATGATGTCAAAATTATTTTCATACAAGCACTAAAATATTATCAACGCCTTTCATCAATTCTCTAACAAGTGGTTGGTGAAATTTTCCAGTGCTGATAAGATGTTTGATGTCACAGCAGACTGAATGCAGAAGCAGATATGATCATTTAGATACAGATATTTGTAGAAATGTAAAACAACACGTTTCTCACTATTTTTAAATAAAAACATCCTAAAAGTTAATTTATTTTTATAGCTTTTTTAAAAGTTAAGATTTTTTGCTACATTCTCAGTTTTCATTTCCAGTGTTAATGACCATAGCATATAAAATACATAAAAAAATTCTTTGAGGGGCCAGGGTTGTGATGCAGCAGATGAAGGCACCACGCATGACACCAAAATCCCATATGAATGCCGGTTCAACTCCTGGCTACTCCACTTCCAGTCTAGCTCTCTGCTAATGCCCCTGGGAAACCAGCAGAAGGTGGTCTGAATGCTTTTTCCTCAAAAATCAATTGAAAAGTGACACGAAGAATGAGAAACAAAAATGGAGTTCACATATTCAGCAACATTTTGGAACACCTAAAGTTATGAAGCAAAGCAGAAGAAGGAGAGCTAAGCGCAGTAAGATGTGGGCCAGAGGAAGAGCACAGGAAGTGGCGTCACAACACAGCAGCCTTTGAGGATCTGGGCAAAGACGGCCCAATACACAGTTCTCTAAGCAGCAGCCCTTCCGTTCTCCTCCTGGTTCAATTTATTTCATTTATTATCAAGTGACCTTTTAAAAGCATGTAATTCAGTGTTTTTAATGTATTCATAAAATTGTGCTATCATCACCACTCTCTGATTTTACTATATTTTTGTCACCGAAAAGAAACTCAGACCCCTTAGGAGCCACTCCTAATGACTATCAGTCTCTTTTCTATCTCTATGAATTTGCCTATTCTGGACATTTTATATTCATTAAATTATACAAAATATGATCTTTGGATCCTGGATTAGTTCACTTAGCATGTTTTCAGAGTTCGTCCATGTTATAGCATATATGTAATCTTCATTTGTTATGACAAAATAATATTAATTTCCATGGTTATGTCATATTTTAATATTCTGTTCATCAGCCAGTGGACATTTGGGTGGTTTCTACTGTTTTGTTATTGTGAATAATGCTGAAATGAGCATCCAAGCACGTGTTTTCGCATGAGTACATTTTAAATTCTGTTGTATATGTATCTAGCAGTCTTATGGTAACTCTGTTTTAAATTTTTCAGGAACTGCCAAACTGTCTCCCAAAGCAAATAAGCTATTTTTACATTCTCCAAAAGCAGTGCCCCATTGTGGTTTTGATTTGCTTTCCCTCTTTTAATGTACTTACAGGCCATTTGTATCTCTTTTGGAGAAATGTCTCTTCAAATCCTCTGCCCACAGAACTGTGAATGGTAAGAACTACGAGAAAGCAAGGAAGGAAGGAAGGAGGGAGGGGAAAAGAAATCCTTTATATATTAGTATGAAAGTATCCTCAAGTTACATTTAAAGTGCAAAACAAAATGAATGGTATATAGAGACTATATATACACATATGTAGTCTATGTATGTATAGTATGTATATATGCATATATGCTATATATACACATAGTCAATATTATCTTTGCTTATACATCTGAGAAAATATAAAGAGCATTCACTGTATGTATGGAGATACACCAAAATTGAAGTTTAGGAGTATAAGCCCTTTACTGCTTAAGTTTTGAACACTATTCATGTATAAACCATTCAAAAGTAAATATAAAAATCAAAGTCACCACTAAAACACAAATAGAAGAAAATATAATCACCATGTAAACAAAGTGTACTTTCAAAGCAGATGTACAGATGACACTAAAAATGCCATCAAGACAATAGGAATTTGGTAAAATTAAGTAGAAAAAATAACATTTCAAAGGGTTAGAGAAAAAATATAAAAAACTGTAAAGCATCATAAGATGGAAAGCTCATGTAAAAAGACAAAATTTCAGCCAATATGTTCAAAGAAACAGTTCCTGGAGTAATGGAAGCTATTATAACAATTGCAAGCAGAAAATGCTGCAGGAAACACTGATCCTGATTGATCAACCACAAGTCTTTCCTTAGAAAAGTTACTGGATGCAGCCATATCAGAACACCCCTGTGAGCCTCCAGGCAAAGGGAAAAATCCTTGATGTCTTGGGAAGAAAAACACTAAATCTGGATTCAAACTTCTCCAGAATCCAGTGCTGGCAACGTGTAGCAATGTCTACAAAGTTTTAATAGAAAAGAATATCATCTTATTTTACATCCAGATATACCACTGTGCAATAATAAAAGCCAAGGAAAAATATTTTGAAACATAGAAGAAATCAAAAAATATTGTTACCATAAACATTCTTGTAAAAACTATGAGAGGCAGACTTCAGCCAATCAAAATATGAACTTAGAAGTCAAGATAAATGGAGCCATGGTGAGGAGTGAATCTATTTAAACATTGAACTAATCCTGAACAGCCAATAAAAGCAGAGAGGAGAGAATATCTGGGAATTAAAATATGTATTTAAAATGGCTTAGAGTTCATATTTTATAATGTTTTTTAAATGGACTCTCTAAATATGGTAAACTTGTTGGAGGAAAATAAGGCCGGTATAGGACTTGCTCTAACCATATCATGTCAGGAAGTCTTCTCTCTTTAGCACAGAATTTTAAAATTTGTTCATGTGAATCTTGGTGATAGCCCACAGTGTCTGTGATAGTAGAAATGCAATGATCAGAGCTGCTGCTCATACTCATTGCCTCATGACCAGGCCTTAACAAAAGGGAGATTTATCTCATGTAACAAGTTCCAGGCTGTGGCATTATACTTGTTAAGATTCCTGGCTAGAAACAACAGAATCCACTCCGCATCGTCTTAAAGGAACCTTTGCTCAGAGAATCATTGGCAAGACTGGAGTTGGGATGCTAAACTTCCAGGAAAAACTCCTAGAACTGTAACCTAATACTGGTTATAGTAATGGCAGGCAAGGGGGCTGCTGCTGTCATCCCGATTGCTGTGTGACAGCTTGCCATGGCACAGCTACCACCTGTAACCATGGTGAGGATGCACTTTTGGTTCAGATCTTGGGTGTTGATGGGTTAAGGATGTTGATGAGTATACACCAGACCTTCTCACCATTCCAGGGGAGATGTAGCTCAGAATCCCTGTAGAACCTCTGACCCTCGGAGGTTCTTTTTTATTTCTTTTTTTTTTTTTAAGGTTCACTTATTTATTGAAAGAGTTAGAGAGAAAGAGAGAGAGAGAGAGAGAGAGAGAGAGAGAGAACAATCTTCCATTAGTTTCTTGTTCACTCCCCAGATGGCCATAACAACTAGGGCTGAGCCAGGAGCCAGGAGCTTCTTCCAGAGTCTCTCACATAGGTACCGGGAGGCCAAGCACTTGGGCCATCCTCGGCTGCTTTTACCAGGCCATTAGCAGAGACCTGGGTAAGCAGTGGAGCAACCAGGACATGAACTGACACCCATATAAGATGCTGGTGATGCAGGCAGCAGCTTTACCTGCTATGCCACAAAGCTGGCTCCACCCTTTACTTTCATATCCAACAAGATGGATAACATTTCTGTGGAAAACTTCAGTTTCTATGTTATTCTGGTCAGACCCTTTTGTAGTCTGTTTCACACTTAGCTGACCCCTCTCAGCATTGGCTTTCCCTATTCACCCCTTCTCTTCTTTCCTTACTTTTATATATCACTAACTTAACATGTGGGCATCAAAGAATCTTTTCTGCAAATTTGAAGATAGTAGAAGATAAGTATAGAACAGAGAAGAAAATGATTTAATGCTAATACAAGTCTCTTGGTATAAAGAATATTATTAACTAGAGTTTTTTGGTCAGTGGGGTAATTTAATCAATGAAACAAATTAATTTCAAATGTGATGTCTTACGTGAGTGTTATATAGATATACCAAGCATCTCTCATCATGGGAATTTTTCACACTGGTCACATTTCTCCATCGGCTGCCACCTCCACTGTGCTGTTGGTATTGATCACTCCGGAGTCTCTTATTGTTGCTGTGCCCCTTATTCTGTCTCCTGAGCTGCCAACAGGAACTTGATTTCCCAACTTGGCTATCTCATTGCTTTACAATCTGCTTTTGGATCATGTCTTGGGGATTGAGGGTGCGGGTTGGGTGTCCAGTATTTGCACCGAAGTAGATTTATGGGATTATTTTTGAAAAAAGACAAGAAACCTTCCTTTTGCATACAAAATACAAATTATACCCTCCTAATCCTCCAGGAGTTTTTGTAATATAAACCACTTTGCTCTTCATAGTGTGGTCAACATGGAAAAATTTAATGATGCAGATTTCAATGGGAAACCATAAAATTGGGAAGAATATAAAATAAAGATTTGATATTAATACAAAAATGGATATAATTTTTGACCTGTATGCTGAGCATTGCTTCTAAACTCAATGAAAATCATAATGGGCTTCAATATATGTTTATGTATATGTATATATGTGTGTGTATATATATGTGTGTATGTGTATATATATATTTATACATATATGTATATGTATATTTGAAAGTCAGAGTTGTAGAGAAGGAAGAGCAGAAGCAGAGAGAGAGAGAGAAAGAGAGAGAGAGTTCTTCCATCTGTTGATTCACTCTCTAAATGGCTGCAATGGTCAAAGCTGGGCCAGGCCAAAGGCAGGAGCCAGGAGCTTCATCCAGGTCTCCCACATGGGTTCTGGTCCCAAGGACTTGGGCCATCTTCCACTGCTTTCCCAGGTACATTAGCAGGGGGATGTATTGCTGGTGGAGCAGCTGGGACTCGAACTGGCGCCCATATGGGATGTCAGTGCTACAAGTGGCAGCTTTACCTGCTACACCACAGTGCCAGCCCCTTCAGTGTATATTTTAATCCTTGATTCCTGGAAATCAAAATGAAGTTCATTCCTTTTGATCTTATTTCTCCCTAGGTCATAATTTTTCTTTGATCAGATGTCATAACACCTTCAAATAAAGTCACTGCTACCTTTCTTGATATATTTGCAAATCACGGAAGTCCCTAGAATGGAATAAGAAAAAGTATCACAACAACATCTACATTTTGCTGGTTCCCCAAGACAGCATTAAATATGGGGAGCGTAGTACACTGGCAGTGAATTAAGCCAATTTCCACAAAAACAGCCAGTTAGTCCATGATGGTAGAAATGGCAGCAGCTTTTCACTATGGGGTCAGGAAACGGATATATTTAATATGGGGACCAAATGTATTCTGTGATTTATAATTGATTTGATATTCATTAATGAGAGGAAGAGCGGGATGGCTCTGTAGGATCATCTCTTCTCCTCTTTTGCTAGGGTAGCCAAGAGTTGAATCAACAGCTTAAGTTAGATTTACCAGGAGAACAGGATCCCAGTCGCAGGCTCAGCAGACACCCTTATCTAGCATGGCTACTCCTTCAGCAAGGGAGCTTCCATTGCTACACAGATGTGTTATGGGTGGGGCCCCCTCTCTGTTCCCGTGTTAGCTGTGAGGCATAGGAGCATTCATGACTCAAGAAAGCTGCAGGGTCCCTGAGTTCAGATGCCTGCACTCCAGTACTGCTCTGTAATTTTCCTCCCCATGAATACTCAATCTGTCCTGTGTGGCACTCGTGCTGGAACCTGTCCCCCTTCTGGGGGACATTTATTCCACAGATACTTATTGAGGACCTACTCTGCGTCAGACACTCTTTCAGCTTCTTGAAATATCTCAGTGAACAAAAAGTCTGCCCTGTTAGAGGTTAATTTATAGCGATGATGGTGGGGAAGAGACAACACAACGAATGTAATAGGTAAATTACATCCTGCAATGTGTTAAAAAGCAAAAAGTGCTACGGAGAATGAAAAAGTAGACTAGGGCAACAGGGCTCAGATTTTGATATTACAGTTGGGAATGGTGATTGACATATGGTTCTGCTGTGGATAAATTGTAATGTACATAAATTCTTTAAGTTGCGGTCTGTGTTTTATTCATCCACAATATCCCTGTGAGCCCAACACTTAGTAGATGACTGAAAACTGTTGAATTAGCTTGTCTGATGCAATTTAGAGCACGAGGAGTGATCTGTCAGATGTAACACTTCAGTAATAGAGCCACTTCTCTAACTCCAGGATGTTCTTCTGCTTTTGCTAAAATAATAATAATAATAAATAATAATAACTGGCACATACTTATTTAAAGAAATTTCATTAGAAAATGATGTTCTGTGCCATTGCCTTCAATTTAGTTAATGTCTCCACAGAAGACTGGGTCATGATACTGTTCTAGTCCCTGACAAAATACAGCACACCATCACAACCAGAGGGCCGCTGCCTTCCCAGGAATGGAGGGGTAAAGCACACCGTACGCTCTGTGTTTCAAGGTGGCTGCAGTTTTAGTG